TCCCCCTCGCAGGTGCACCCCTCTTTCTCTTCCTGCTGCTGCGCTGTTGTCAGCAGCACTTGGCTGCCCGCGGGGCAAGCTGGGGTGGAAGGAGAGGAGCCACCCTTTGGTCCCCTCGTCCCGTTGGGGAGGGGGCAGTCCTGCCTGGTTGTGGGCAGCCGCTAAGGCAGCGCTTGGTGGAGCCTCCCTGGAGCACGTGCTCACCAACCCAACTGTCTTGTTGCAGCGGATGCCAGCGTGGACCTGCTGCCGGGGCTGTTGCTGAAGAGAGGCCAGACCTCGGTAAGCGGGGGGCCGTGTCCTCGTTCGTAAGCCAGCAGACCCCATGGGAGCAACTGACACGCAGGGCTGCAGGTGCCCTGCCCTGCTCCAGTCACCTCGCCCTCGGAGAGCAGCCGGGACAGGCAGTCGTCCCGGTGAGGGGCACAGCTGTGGGGGGTATGGCTTCTCGTCAGGTTCACTGTCATTTGAGAAACTCTTGACCTTGGTCTGGTAGAGAGGCTCAACAGAAGTTAACAGCTTATTAATTTGACAAGATCTGTTTCGCCAAAACTTCCTAATGAGCTTCAAAACGTGGTTGATGCAGTGGTGGCGCTCCGAGTGCAGCTTCTCTGACTTTCATGAGGGCCTTTGGCTTCTGCAGCAAGGCCTTTGATTGAGAAAATAGGATGTACCGGGATGACATCTTGCCATACTCAATGAGAGAGAAAATCCTGGGTAATGGTTAGACATTGGACGTTACAGATGAGGAGCTAGCAGGGAGCAGCTGTTTTCCAGAGAGCTGCTGCAGGGAGGTCGTAAGCCCAGCTTGAGAAATGGCTGTGGGTTGTCACGGCTTGAGAAGTAAGATCAGGAGTTATCAGTTACGTTCCATGACCTGGAGGAAATCGGAACATCTTTGCCGATGAAATGTGTGGCTGCTCAGGAGTGACCCGGCTTGCCCTCTTTGTTGGATGAGCCAAAGTTTGAGTACGGGTGAGTTGTGATTGTGCATCTGCGAAGCGAAGACGGCGGTAGCTGTACGGGGTGGGCAGTCTCTCTACCAGGCTGGTCTCTTGTGGAGCTGTCCCTTCCTGGGGTAACGTGGTGAGGATGAGAACCCCTCGCTTGGAGGCTGAGAGCTAACGTGATCCCTGCGTGTCTGAATGGGAGTCTTAAGTGAAAGCTGGCAGCTGTTGCTGGTTTTGGCACTGGAGTTGTTGCTGCTGGGTTCGCTCTCTGGCTCTCATGTCCGCAACTCAAAAAGGATCTTCAGAAAAATTGGAGACAATTCAGAGAAGGTCTCAGGAGGCCTCTCAAGTTCTGGAGGACATGTCTTACTGGGAGATTCAGGGAGCTCGGTATAGCTTACAGAGTGACTCAGTCTGTCTGTAGGTACGGGGTCACAGCTCCAGTAACAAGATGCTCTTCAGTCTAGCATGCAGGTCTGTAACATGCTCCGGTGGCTGCGGAGTTGCCTAGAAATATCTAGGAGTGTTCTTGGTCAGCCACAAATATTTGACTTGACGCAGGAATAAGGTGGAGTGGGCTGAGAGCCTGGCCAAGGCCAGAGGCCAGGTTAAAATGCTTGGCTCCTTCTTGCCTTCAGTTTTAATTAAATGCTTTTTGTCTCTGTCTTGATTGATCCACCATGTAAGCTGAGTTTGTTCCAAACTGGCTAAAGTTTAACATGCCTCGTGGTCTAGGACAAGGGTGGGTGTAGCGAGTAGCGGAGGAGGCACTGGGATCGCAGGTTGCTGCTGTTGAAGTGACTTGGCTGACCAGGTCCCCGGAACTAGAGAAATTGGCCGTACGTTAGGGTCAGCCAAACCCTTTGCCTTGCTGAGGCAGAGCTGTTGTGTATGAGCCATTGATTTAGGACTTCATTCCTGAAGTGACTTCCTGGTCTGATTAGCTTCCTCAAAATGCGCTTGAATCTGTCCCGGTTCCCCTGTCCTACCTCCCTCCTGCCCTCCTGTCCTTCCTTCCAGGCGTGAGGGGTTGATTGACCTCTTTTGTCGTGGAGGTGGGCTTTTGGGGCTTTTGCTGAAGATGCTCCCTCTTCTTTAAACTCTCTGCTTTGTGCCCCAGATGGTGAACGCGAAGAAACTGGAGAAGGCGGAAGCCAGGCTGAAAGCCAAGCAGGACAAGAGGATGGAGCGGGATTCCCTGAAGTCATCTGGTCCTCTGTGAGTATGGAGCGCGCCGCCAACATCACCATCCCGCTCTGCTGAGTGTGGCTGGGATCTGGCTGTACCAGAGCCTTCACGCTGAGCCCCCTTCTCTGTCTTCTGCCTGCCCACAGGGTCCTTGAGGAGGCGTCTGCCAGCCAAGCTGCCAGCAAGAAGGAGACTCGCATGGAGTCATCAGGCAAGAACAAGTCGTATGATGTGCGCATCGAGAACTTCGACGTGTCCTTCGGTGAGCGGTGAGTGCAGATGGGGAGGTGGGACAGATCCTGGCTGGGGTTTTGGACCATGGGTCATTGAGACCGGATTGGAGAGCGGTTGGGAAACGACAGAGGGTATGGGAAGGATCAGAAAGCAAGGTGGGCACCTGGCCCTGTTGGCTTTGGGCAGGAGAAGTCTGCGATGGTTGCTTGGCCCCAGCACAGCCTGAAATATGCTGGGGGCAGGTGGCTGCCGGTTATCTCCCTCTCCGTGGGGCAGTCTGACCAGGTGCCTGCCTGTTCTCTCGCTTTAGTGTCCTACTGGCGGGAGCAGACCTGAACCTGGCGTTTGGACGGCGCTACGGGCTGGTGGGCCGGAACGGGCTGGGGAAGACCACGCTGCTGAAGATGATCGCTAGCCGGAGCCTGCGCATCCCCTCGCACATCAGCATCCTCCATGTGGAGCAGGAGGTGGCGGGGGATGAGACGCCGGCGCTGCAGAGTGTGCTGGAGTGTGACACCACTCGTGAGAGTCTACTGCGGGAGGAGAGGGATCTGACGGCTAAGATTAATGCCGGCAGGTGAGATGTTGCCGCTGGGTTTCCAGCCCTTCTATGGCTTCTTGACCGCTAGGTCTCGTTCTGAGGTCTCTCACTTCAGACGGAGGGCTCCAGCAGGGCTGGGCTGCGTCTTGCCCACCTTAGTCCTGCTTGGGAAGATCAGCCTCCCCCAGCACTCAAACCCTGACCCCCGTCAGTCCCACACACTCCTCTTTGTCCTGTCCCAGGGGAGAAGGGACAGAAGGTGCCAGGCTATCGGAGATCTACGCGAAGCTGGAGGAGATTGAGGCAGACAAGGCCCCAGCGAGGTGAGACGGCCCTGTGGGCACTGCTGTCTGTTGGCATGGGCAGTGATTTGGGGCATGGGGTATGGAAGGGTGATGCTGTGGCCCTGGGATCCAGCATGTGGGGACAGGGGGGCTCTCCCTACTGCTCTTCTTGTCTCTTCTTCTGTCACAGCTCTGCTGGATTAGGAGTAGTCAAGCTTCCCCCCCTGAAACTAGAGGGATTTCCCCCCCCCCCCAAAATGGCTTGCATTGTTGCTGCTGCTCCTCTCAGACCTCCCCAGGTTCCTGGTGTCTGGGGAACGTTTCTGGGATGTTGGTGGTAGTGACTCTCTTCCTGGTCAAAGAGCTGAAAGCTTCTTGTGAATCTCCTGGGACTTCACGTGGATGCTGTGCCCTGCTGGGCTGCGTTTCCCAGCCAAGCACTGCTCTTGGGCACGCAATGAAGTTTTCCTGTGCCAGAATGGCCTTAAACCATGCAGCAGAGTCCCCACAGCGACTGTGGGTCTGAGACATCAGACTCTGCTCTGCTGTTGGATGCTGTAGCTGGGTTCCAGTTCTCTCCCCTTTTCCCCAGGGCATCCGTCATTCTTGCTGGGCTGGGCTTTAATGCAAAGATGCAACAACAGACAACCAAGTAAGTCTCCAGGTTCTGGGCATCGAGACAGAAGTGGGTCTGGGGAGACGCTGCTGCTCGCGAGCCCGCAGTCACTGATATGGCTGTAAGGGAGGGGAGCCCTGTGGGAGAGCGAGGGTCTATTCCTGCCCGTCCGATGTGGTCTCCTGCCCTGGGGGTGCCAAGCCACCTGCCTGCTGGACCATGGATCTTGTGCTGCGCCCGAGATCTCTGCAGGGACATGCTGTCTCTGGGTGACAGCAGAGCTAAAAGGGCCACGGGAGAACAGGGAGCCTGGCAGGCAGGCAAACACAGAGCTGTTCTGCGTTAAACAGTAACCCCTCTCTGAAACCTCTTCTCTCCTCAGAGAGTTTTCCGGAGGCTGGAGAATGAGACTGGCCTTAGCCAGAGCCCTGTTTGCCAGGTTGGTGTCCAAGCCTTCATGCCATGGGGTTAACCCTCCTTGCTGCCCATGCTGCGAGGTGCAGGGGTGCTGCCTGGGAGTCCTCTCGACTCAGGCTGTCGGGGTGGGGAGCGTTGGAGGCATTGCAGCTCTGTGTGTGTGGTGAAACACGCTCTGCACTGATCCTGTGCTCTGTTTGCTTCTGATATGTCTTGTATGAAAAATCCATGTCTTGTTTTTCCTAGGCCAGATCTCCTTCTGCTGGATGGTAAGTCGATACTGTGAGTCCCCTCCGACACCGCCGCTGGGCCCGCCTGTGCCCTTGCTGGGGTTGGGAGCGCGCCGTGGCCTTTAGCTGCCTGCTCAAAATAGCCCTGCGTGACAGGGCCGGTGCTGGCAGGGCTGCCGGTGCTCCCCTGGCATGGCGGGCAGAGCTGGCAGTGGTGCGGGGAAGTCTGTTTCTGTAGCCACTTTCACTGCGCTCAGCAGAGCTCTGCCCCGTGTCCCAGCCGGGTGGTCTGCATGTCATCGTGCCCCAAGCAGTCCCTTTCCCTCACCTGTCCCTGTGATGGGTCCTGGCTGCCAGCCCACTCTGGGGGGAGTCCCTTCACCGCAGGGGTGACCCCGGCATTGGGCTGGCTCCCTGGGGGGGTGCCCACCTTGGGTGGGGGGGTCTGGGTGAGACGCTGCTGCCAGGCACCAGGGTCCAGGTACCGATATGGAGTGGGGGGAGCATCCCTGGCTGAGCCTTGGCCCCTGTGTGCACCCCCCTCAGCACACCCCACACGTGTGAGTCCCCTGAGCTGTGGGAGCAGGTCCCCACGCAGGGTCTCTTCCTCCGCTATGCTGATCGCTAGCCTTTCCTGTGTAAAAAAGCATAATCCAGCCATCCTCATCCCTCCTGACCTCAGTGCCTCTTCCCCTTTCCTCAGAGCCAACGAACATGCTGGACGTGAGGGCCATTTTGTGGCTTGAGACCTACTTGCAGGTAGGGGGTGGTGGGAAGCCCCGGGACAGAGCAAGGGTGAGGGATGGAGATGTCCTCCAGGCTGGTGTCTCGCCTCGCTGGGTGGTGGGACCAAGCCCTGCACTCTGGCTTGATGATGCTTGGGCCTCCCTCTTGCTGTCTCCTCCAGACCTGGCAGTCGACCATCCTCGTGGTGTCCCACGACAGGAACTTCCTGAATGCGGTGGCCACGGACATCATCCACCTGCACTCGCAGCGGCTGGACACGTACCGCGGGGACTTTGAGAACTTCATGAAGATCAAGGAGGAGCGGCTGAAGAACCAGCAGAGAGAGTACGAAGCCCAGCAGCAGTACCGTGAGCACATCCAGGTACTGGGAGAAGCCAGTAGTGCTGGGACGCTCTCCTCCCAGCCTTATCTCTTTCTCCATGCTTCTAGACCCGTGGATATGGCTCTGTTGTTGCAGGAGGTTTGGCAGCAGAGTGGGGTGGCTAGGGCTGAAGGGGACCTGGGACTCTGATGCTTTTCTCTCTTGTAGGTTTTCATCGACCGCTTTCGCTACAACGCCAACAGGGCATCCCAAGTGCAGAGCAAGCTCAAGCTGTTGGAGAAGCTGTGAGTGCCTGTCCTGCTCCTCTCTGGAGGCGGGGAGGGGGCAGTGCTCATGGGAAGAAACAGAGGTTCCCAGGGCACCTGGGAGATACGGGGATGGTTTGGGGTTTGGGTGCTCTGTCTCTGGTCCACAGGCTTTGGCTAGGATGAGGCATCACAGAGCTGACGCCTTCTGGAGTGAGAACAGACCCCCAGTGCAAGGCACCGTGGTTACGTGTCTCTTCTTCTTGCAGGCCAGAGCTGAAACCTGTGGACAAGGAGTCTGAGGTGATCATGAAGTAAGTGTCCCCTGAGCCCTTGCTCGGAGGGCACCTGGCTCTGTTTCTGACATGAGCTCCTCCTGGGTCCTGTCCCAGCTGGAGCAACCACCCCTTCCTGCGGGCCAGCCTTAGTCTGACAGGGAGCCCAGACAGGCCCCCACGTTCAGGCTGGGTTCCCTTCTGGGGCCAAGGCTGCAGATCCGTGTCCCCTTCTTGTGACCGTCCTTTCCAGAGACCCTACATGGTAGGGAGCCCCCCTGCCACCTGGGGGGTTGCAGCAGTTGTCCTGGGAGGCTGGGAGCAGGGTCTCTGAAGTTCCTGGCCATGTCTCACCTCTTCCTGCCTTCCCAGGTTCCCCGATGGCTTTGAGAAGTTCTCCCCCCCAGTCCTGCAGCTAGACGAAGTAGACTTCTATTACGACCCAAGTCACTACATCTTTTGTTCCCTGTCCGTCTCTGCTGACCTGGAGTCCCGCATCTGTGTGGTATGTGGGATTGCAGAATAACGGTGGCCACAAGGAACCTTGGGAGGTCCCTGCTCAAAGCAGGGCCAGCTTTGATGTTAGGTCAGGTTGCTCAGGTCCTTGTCCAGTTGAATTCTGGCTATCTCCAGGGAGGACTATTTCTCCCATTCCTCTAGGTCCCGTTGCAGCATTTGATCATCCTCATTTTGAGGAACATTGGAATATTTTTCCTAACACCAGTTACAGTTTGTGACTTGCGCCTGTTGCCCTTCATCCTTTCACCGGGTGCCTCTGAGAAGAGACTGGGTCCATCTTCTCTGTAACTCCCCATTAGCTGACAACAGCAGCATGTAGTGGGGGCTCCTGCTACATTGGATGGGGCAGCAGAGAGATGCTATGTGCTTGCAAATGAGGCTGGGACCAGCTAATCCTGAGGCTCGAGGGTTGGGGAGGGAACATCTTCTAGCACTGCTGCCTGTGCTGCTCCTCAGTGATAGAAATGCAGCTTCCAGGTAGCTGGAGTCATTGGTTAGACTCTCGTCCTGCCCCCCTCTGCTGCGTGATCATCCAAGAGAGCTGAAATTCCCCGATAACTGTGCCCCCCGCCCCAAAGTACCTTCGTGGGTTTCACGTTCTCCAATGCTGCTGCTGCTTCTCTAGGTTGGGGAAAACGGAGCTGGCAAGTCGACCATGCTAAAGATCTTAATGGGGGAGCTGGCACCAGTCAGAGGGATCAGACATGCTCACAGGTACCTGGTAGGAAGGGCTGGGGAACTGGGAGGAATGGTGCAGTTGGAGGGCTTCTGGGCTGTGCTTTGGAGTGATGGGTGCCCGAGTGACGGGGATGGGTCCTGCACACCCACGCATATGCCCCCCTTCCTGTAGCTGCAGCTGCGAGCGCCGTGGTTGCAGGGCCTGGTACCAGCTCGCAATCTCTCTTCTCATTCTGCAGAAACCTGAAGATCGGTTATTTCAGCCAGCACCATGTGGATCAACTGGACTTGAACATCAGTGCTGTAGAGTTGCTGGCAAGAAAGTTCCCAGGTGAGTTTTGGAGATCCCAGAAGATTTGGGCCATTGAGGTCTCCTTTGCCACACGTGGAGCAGCACTGCTTTGTTCTGTGGCCCTGGGCAGAAGACTTTTTCACATCAGTGCTTGAGGGATACCGCCTGCTCTGGGTTAACTCCCCACGTCCAGCACAAGTTCAGGACGCCAGCCGTGAGAAGCTGAGCTGGTTGTGCAGGAGTAGCTGGCAGTCTGCAGACCTCAGGCTGGTGCCGTGGCTGGGTTTTGGGGGCAGATGACCCACTTTCCTGCTGGGCACAGAACGAGCACCGGCTCCCCCATTCCCAGCTGCCAAAACCTCCCGCTCTCTTCTCCACTTAACATTACGTAATGTGGCGACCGGGGATTGGGGGCGGCGTCACTTGGAGTCGGTCACCAGCCCTGCAGCCCCTGTCCTGATTGTGTCGGTCAGGTTTTCCCCGCAAACCCCCTGCTTGGGAGGGAATTGCCTGGAAGCGGCTGCTGAATTCCTCCCCCGCCATGCTGGTCTGGCACAGGCTGCCCGGCCATGGCACCCGCTGAGCTCACGGCGCCGAGGGCCCTGTGTCACGCTGGGTGTGCCATAGCTGTGTTGTGACATGCTCCTGCAGGGAAGACGGAGGAGGAGTACCGGCATCAGCTGGGGAGCTACGGTGTCTCGGGGGAGCTGGCCGTGCGTCCCGTGGCCAGCCTGTCTGGAGGTCAGAAGAGTCGCGTGGCCTTTGCCCAGATGACTATGTCCTGGTAATTTTCTCCCAGATGCTGTTAATTTTTGCATGGCTCCATCCCTGGAGTCTGCTTCACCGGGAGGAAAGCAGGCATCGAGGGACTTTCCACTGCCCCGCAGAAGCCTCGTCCTTGGGACTTTTGTGAGGAGGGAGGTTGTCACCCTGGGGGGACTGTGTGGAAGGAGGCAGGTGGCTTTCTGCTGCTTTGGGCTCACAGGGATAAGAGATGTCCCTGGAGCTGGGCAACGCCGATCTTGGGGCCATGCAAATGCCGGTGGCTGTGGCTTTTCATGGCTAACGCAGCAGCCTGGTGGAGGTCCCTGCAGCGCGAATGGGTGTGGACCCAGCCCGGGCCTGTTCCGGTGCATCCTCAGAGCCGTCTTCTCTTCCAGTCCAAACTTCTACATCCTGGATGAGCCGACAAATCACCTGGACATGGAGACCATTGAGGCGCTGGCAAAGGCACTGAATAAGTTCCGGGTAAGGCTCCCTCGGTGAGATCTCCTGTTTTTTCTAATGCTCTCCGCAGCCTCTAGCTTGGGTTACTTGGTATTTCAGCCAGAGGTGGACAGTCAAATACCAGTGATGGCTTCAAGTCCAGGACAGAAGTTGGGATGGGTCAGTCACATTTCTGCCTTAGCCGTCCATCCTGGTGGTTTGTTTGACTTGCTGGCTTTGGCTAGGGGTGGCTGAGAGAGGCAACAGCAGACCAGAGAGAACCTTGTCCCCCATCTTGGCCGGTCACCTACGCTCTGTGACTTCTGGTGTGCCGCTGTGTGCTGCATGCAGCCCTCAGCCCTGCTTTGGGGCCTCTCAGCTCTTCCTTAGGCACAATTCATGGCTGATCTCCAAAGCCTCAGCCTCCAGATACCACTGTGATCAACCTGGTTCTCACTGTTTTATGGTTGCTCAGGTTGGGGCAGCTTTCCTGTGAAAGAAAAGCTTAACTGAGGTTGCTCAGGGCCTGGCCCAGCCACCTTTTGACTGTCGTTGACTCCACCTGGAATCTCTGTCCTTGCAGTTGTCAGAGACTTGGAGAGCCAGTAACAAACCCTGCACTTGCTTTCCAAGGCCGGGGGTTAAATACGTTACTGCTGCACATGCCTCCTCCATACGTCATCTGTCTGTCCCCCTGAATGAAGGAAAGGCTGGGATTAGATCCCTGCCAGTGAAGTACCCTTGAGTTTTCCCTGCAGCGGATGGAAACCTGAAGTCCTGGGCAGAGGCTGGACAGGGGCGCAGGATCTCCGTGCCACCAGCGCTGGGCCCTGGGTTGTGCTCCGCTAAATTCCCTTTTTTATCCCCCCTTGTGTGTTGGCAGGGTGGTGTAATTCTGGTGTCCCACGACGAGCGCTTCATCCGCCTGGTGTGCCAGGAGCTGTGGGTGTGCGAGAATGCCACCGTGACCCGCATCGAGGGCGGCTTCGACCAGTACAGAGACATCTTGAAGGAGCAGTTCCGGAAGGAGGGTTTCCTATAAGGGGAGGTAGGAGCCGGATTGCGCCGGGGGCTGGAGTGCAAAGCCTGGCCGCCTCAGCATCCATCCCAACTGTGCCTGGCAGAGCGCCGAGGACGCTGCTGCCCGCATGGACCGTCAGCCATGCCATCAAACTGCCACCTGAACTGCTCTCCCCTCCTGGGGCCGGGCGGAAGGACAGCGAGGGAGCAGGAGCCCGGTGCTGCGCGTGGCCTGGGGCACGCCGGGGGCTCTGCCGTCGGCCGGGGCTACGCCTGGCACTGGGCACACGGGAAAGGCTG